CTAAATAAAAAAGCACAATCGGGGTCCAAACAGATCCATTGTCTTAATATAAACTTTAAAGGGATTTTACGAAATAATAGCTACATCATTTAACCAATTCAAAATATAAATTTAATTTGCACATTTTTTACAAAGATCACACTGTACATAACCTTGATCTGGTATTTAGTCAAATATATTTATCATCAGAGTTGAAATAACTATTAATTCAATTTACTTCTTGTAAAGTTGTTTTTTAACTCTGTTATTTTTTATTGCTTTTTTTATTGATTACACCGTTACAAGAGTCAAGTTTATATAAAAGTAACTGTCGAATATAACTTAAAAATAACAATAGCTACATCTTATAAAACAGTAAAATAACATATACTTAAAAAATATAAACTCGTAAACTAACGAAAAAAACTAACAACAAACGAAATTATTTTTGTTATAGATTTTAAAACATTGCAATCGAAGGCGATGACAGATTAAATATTTTTTTACCTCTGCTCAAATATTGTTATCACAAATTTTTTAACTTTATTTGTTTTTGAGATATAGGTGGTGGACCTTTTCATCCTGGAACTTTTAAGTCTTGCTCTACCCAATTATAAAGTGCATGATAAAAATTTTTGAAAATATATTACACGATTATGTTAATATATCAACAAAAATTCACACAGGTTTCTCATAATTAAACTACATTTTTTTTGGATTTTTCAACCGAGCATTATGAATATTAGGTATTTTCTGTGTATGAGGTTTTTCGCACTAATAGTAAATAATATTGAGATTTATATCAACCGCACAAAGTATTATGAATGAAGATATTATATGAATTAATTTAATCTATAGTGTCAAAATATACAATACTTTGTGAAAAACAAATAATATTTCTGCAAAAGCCAGTATTTCAGTTTATTGTGTAATGAAAGAGAATAAAGCATACAAAAAATATAAGGAATCCTCTCATATGTGATAATGTTCGTCGAGTTTGCTGGTTCGCGTCGTTGAACTCGGACCTCAAACAATAAAACGACTGGTCATTATATTTATCACAAGCGAAGGCGTTATACAAATAGAATTTTCTAATAATAAGAACAGAATTAGACGGAATTACTCAGCTGATTTATTATAACCATTATTTGATTTGATTGCTATTGAACGTAAATATTTAATTGAAATTTTCTCTTGACCAAGCAATTTTTTGAATAAACGAATATTATCATACCCGGTACATCTTCAATATTAAATGACTACATTAGTGCAAATATTGTCTAGTATAATTATTCTAACTCTGTCTTCGTGAAAAGAAGTTTCATGAGATTGATATAAATATTGTCCAGTTGTAAGTAATTCTTCTTTTCATATTCTGAGGGAATTGTAACTTTTAATTTTTTCTTATTTACTAATGTATGTACTTTTTTGGAAATTGTTAACCAAATTTCCTCTTCACAAACATAAATCTACTGTTTATTTTATTTTCTTACTTATTTTACTGTGCAAATAGTTAAACAATATACCTACAAGTAAAAGTTTATATTATATATATATAAGTCAAGCATATTAGATTGGCCAAAAAGAAAACCATTATTGTTTTGATAGATGGATGTACTGATAGATTTTTTGAAAAGTATAGATCAAACAATTTCAGATTTATGCTCGCTGGAAAAGAGACATTTCGCAGCAAAAAAATTATTTTGCTGTTTTTGTTTGGTGCATTCAGTTGTGAATCACAGGTGTTAAAAATGGAAGTGAACAAGGAGAAAATTTGGTACATTTTACACATGTTCTTTGAAAAAGGCAAAAATGCAAGCCAAGCGGCTTAATTTGTGAATGGTGTTTATGGTTCCGATACTGTAATAGCCAATTATGCGCAATTTTGTTTTCGTAGATTTTGTTCAGGAATTTTTGAAAATGACGATAAATTCGGAAAAATGATCGAAGTTGACCAGTATGTTAGCAGTCGTAAAGGAGCTAAAAATTGACCATAAAACAGTTTTAAACCAATAAACTAAATTTCAAATGAAAAATAAATAACAATCTTTTTCTCTAATCTAATATATGTACAATACTTAAATATATATTTTTCTGCTTCTGCAGAAGTTCACAATTAAAGTGAAGTATCACTTCTCAAAAAATATTAATGATAATTAGTAATATTGTTGTAAAATCTACTATTAGATTCTTTAGTTTGATCTCCATATTTTCAAGAAAATTTCAATTTCATTAAACTTTTATTTAACGCGCACCTTTCTATTAATAATAAAAACAAAATTTTAAGCAAAGTCTAGTTTTGATACCCGCTTCAGGTAGCCTGATGTCAAACAGTAATGACATTGGTTTTTACTTGAAAAATGGAGAGTAATGGGTTTTCAATTTAAAATAATCTTTGGCCGACATTCCTGAATCAACAACAAATACACCACTATTGAAAAAATTGCATTAATACAATTTATCACATAGAGTTAGGACAACTGTTTGGGTTGTCAAGTATAAAAACCTACATAGTTTGTATTCAGCTTATATTACCCTTAAGTTTCCATCGCTATTCAAATAATTAAAGAACAAAAAACTATAAATATTATTTATATTATATATTTTGCCAATTTCTAAAAATAATTGCATAGAACCCGATCAGCATTTCAAAGATTGCACTTGTTTATTTGTTAAAGCACAATTAATTTTATTTGCATATTCTAATCTATTTCTCTCTTTTCTCGCGAGTATGTATTTAAATTGCATCGTTTTATTTATTTGCTTAGAGATAATAAATTTCTTTTTACGATAATCGTATTTTGTTATGATATGACAAACTCACCGTAAAACAAACGGGAACATATGGTGTAGTGATATACGATCCGTAGTTGTAATGCAAATAAATAAGATATATGAATATCATTGAGCATAAAACGCAAAGATGTCACATAACTCTACTGTGGCATATCTGATACTGAATTTGAATACAGTGTTTGTTTCAAATAAGATATAGGGTAGATCGGGGTTTAAAGGTCCGCGGGTAAAAAGATCCACCACCTATATCTCAAAAACCAGTAAAGTTAAGCATTTTTTAATAACTGAATATTTGAAAGTAGACGGAAAATGACTTACGACCGCACTTTGAACGACCGACATGTTTGAAAATCCATGACAAAACTATTTTCTTTTGTTGTTTAGTTTAAGAAACCTGTGTATAATTTTTAAGTTATTTAATTAATTTTAAGTTAGATTCAACTTTTTTTTATATAACCTCTATAAGACCTTGCACTTGATTATGGTGAAAGGACCAAATAATCTTTTACGTTGGCATAGTTGTAAAACATAAACATTTCAAATAAAAAAGTAAATTAAGTTAAATAAAATAATTTTACAAAGATAAATTAAATATTAATATCAATATTATTCATAAATCATATCAACATTTTTGAAGTAAAACTTCTTTAGACTAGGGTGTAAATCCGTACAAATGCAACGGAAGTTCGTTACGGCACAACTGTACGTTATTCGCTTTTGATGAAATCATTTCAATACGGGTCGATTGTGATTAGTCGTAGTGTATGTGAATAGAGATCTGTCGTTGTATGCGTACCGGCATCAAAGTTGTATACGATCCGATATCAACAAAGAAATCGGCATAGATAAATAAACATTTTAAAGTTACATTGCAGTACAAATCTTGATTTAATGAAAAATGCCTAAATCAGAAGAATATTTCATACTGATCCTTGAAAATATTGATTAATAAAATTAATGATTAGTTAGTTTATTGATTAGAAATTATTTCTATATTATTCGCAGTTTCTATAAATCTTTGAAGTTATTAAAATGGAAAATATTTTTTAGACAAGACAGATATTACAGCTGTTCAAAGAATGAGATTATAGCGCCAGCGAAAAAGTAATAAAATATAAGCAGCCAATGAATGTATGTTAATTTTAATTACATGAAGTTGTTCAGATACAATTCCATGATGAGTGAAGTTGCGAAAACAATATTTGTTTAGACGTTGTTTAACATAATCCACTATGTGAACGAATATTATAGAATTTATTAATCAGCAATTACTTCATTTCTCTAATGAAGCTTCATTTCTAAATGCTAATTACAATGACAAGCCGATCATGTCATATTTTTTTTTTTTTTTTTTTTTTTAATTTTTATTTTCAATAGCAATCAGAATACATAACTATTCTATGAGCTATTTGGCTTATGTCATTCACTCACACACATACACACACACTTGCAAACACACATATAAATTTATCGGATCAATATTACAATCATATTCAGAGAATCACTTCAATAAATGATTCAATTATTCTGTTTATATAAGGTTGTGGTAGTTCTATGGTTCCTCCATATTATCTTCGGGCAGCTTCTTCTTCAGTCTTCTTGAAGTATGACTTTAATTACATTATTGTTTTTAAATATTATACATATTTTTAATACTATTATAAATATATAATTTATAATTTATCATTATATAAATGTGTATAATGGTTGACACTAATAAGTGTGTGCATCACGAGTGTTACCATATTACTAATAAACATTATTCAAAATATTTATATGATCTAATTATTTTTACTTAAATGCTATCTTGTACAGTAGCAAATATGTTTTTTATACTACAATCGCATGTGAACCTTACGCGCACTCTTTTTTTAGAGATTACCGTCATAAATATTTTTGAGCAAAAATATCATAACATAGTTAGTGAGAAAATAAATTTAAAGGAAAAGTGTCCGAACTTTCAAAAATGTTTCAGATTATTTGAAAGCATACTCTGGAATTCCATGATTCGAGTTATTTAATACTAGTTTATTTTTAAATATAAATAACTTAAAAAAACAATAAATGTGATTTACAAATTCATTTCAAATAGACATATAATAAAAATTTTAAAATTTTGTTTAAAAAATTGTGTTATATCAAGCTAATGTATTTACTATATGTTTCTAAATAAATTTAAAATTCAAGACATAAAATAATATATTTTATAAAAATATTTATTTCAGCGTACTGGCACGGTTTTTGGAGAAGATTTACCATTTGTGCTGGGTTTGCCAGGACCACCGTTGTTTCCTGCAAACTCAACTGTTCAGGATCGTCAAGTTGCTGATTTATTTATACAATATCTCGCCAATTTTGCACGTACAGGGTATGTAAAACCATCATATTCAAAAATGTTGATAATTCAGTTTACTCATTTTAATATAACTGTATTTTTAATTAAGGAATCCCAACGGTCCGTCCACTGATTCAAGACCTGATCACACATCGCCTCAACCATATTGGGACTCCTATGATACAATTAATCAACTATATCTCGAATTAGGTGAGTTTTTGTAGATTTTTCTCAATTGTTTTAATGTTACGTAAATTTTATAAGTTATTTTTATGTTTTAGAATAATATGTGAAAATGATGCTGTACGATTTAATTTTTATTGTAATAAAGTGTTATATTATATAATAATATATATACGCAAGCAGTGTACGCTGCAAAGATGTAGCTTTTATACCTGAATTAAAAGTGTATACAAGTCTGCATGGAGTTAAATAAAATAAGTAGTATAATAAGATTTATTATAACCATAAATCTAAGTGAAATTATTCCAACTTAAATAAGCACATTGGATGAAGATCATTGAACTGTCCGTATGGAAAATTATTATAGTAGATAATGGCAAAAAATCGAAAATGAAAGTTTTGCATATTTATGTTTCATGCGTTTTTGATCATTTTGGCATACTTTAGAAAAAAATAATGTATGTATGGATACAATGTTTCGTCATGAGCACGGATCAATGATTTTGATTGACTTAAAAAACATTTGATTCCTTCTGACTGGGAGACCTAATGGTTAGTTTTATGTAAAGGCAGGTCTAACCACTTGGTATTTTGAAAATACGGAAAAAAATGCCAAAAATGGCAACTCAGTTTTTGAGAGAATGGAGCGTCCAATTGGTATGATTATCCAACGGAGTTTTTTATTTGATTTTGAATTTGATAAATACTAGGAATGCCACCACTTAATCTGCAATAAAAGATTGGTTCATAAATTATTCTTATGTGTTATTTGAATCCTCTGAGATTATGCAACGGTACCCACTCGATCATCAGGATGATAACAGAAAATACAATGAAACAACGATTCTAACGTAAATGAGAAGTGTTTTAAAGAAGAAGCGATTATTCTACCGCGGATTCCAATGACACCGTCAGGTTTTATCATACAATTTAATACGTTACAATTTAGCATTTTCCAAGAGCATAAACAAATCTCAGGGTCAAACAATGTCCATTTATGCCTTATATTTAGAATACCAACGTATTTCGCAATCGTATGTGTCAAAATCGAAGAATAAATTTGTGCTAGCTAAGGAAAGTTTAGTCAAAAATATTGTGCATCAATTAGTTTTACTTTAATTTTATAATGGCATTATTGCGAAATAATAACTGAATGGACAATTTGTGATATAGGAAAATACAATGTAAAAAAAACAGATAAATTTAAAGGACAAAAAGTAACAGTATAAAAAAGTTTACTATTAACAAAGATATATTCAATTAATCATATTCAAATATTAAATTTATATAAATATATTAAACAAAATTAGATATTAATTACATTACAAATTACAGACAAAGAATTTTTAAAAAAAATGTCACAAAAATTTACTGGTTAAATATGGTATTCCCACTTGAACAATATTTATTTAAATGTTGAAACATTTTGATTAGATATGAATTATTTATATGAATCTTAAGGTAATAAATAACATATGTTGTATCTCAATTTAACGAATATATGTTTATGGTCAGGGGCTGTAGCAATAGTACAACATAAAAGAATTGGATCTGGTGTTGAACAAATTAATACAGACAATGTACTGCATAGGGTTTGTCGGTTTTCAAAAACCGGTTTTAAAAACCGGTTTTTTGGCGAAAATTATGGAATTCGAAAACTGGTATTTTAGCGAAAATAGTCGGTTTTTACTGTATATGTGGAAAATAACAAATATAGCCAAATATGAAAGATAGATGAAAACGTTTTGATTCTTGAAATCATATCGGTTCAATAGCATTTAATATCTTATCAGTCTGCAATGGTTCCCAGAAAGGCTTTGTATATATTAATTTAGATTTTTATACCAGTGTATATATTAATTTAAATCAGTGTGACTTCTTCTTGAAGAAGTAACTTCCTCTAATCAAACTTAAAAAAAGATTTTTAAACCCCAGAAGCCATAAATAAAAGAAGAAAAAGCTTAGAATTATTTTATCAGGCTTTAAAAACAATTAAGCATAATTTGGTCGCAAGTATGAGAGTATTTTCTATTTCAGTAGCAATTTGATAGACGTTCTCAGAAGTTTGAAATCATATTTTATTAAACAAAAAACAATTAGAATGTTTAAATTAATTAAAATTGCTCAGAACAGACAATACCCGAGTTTAGCTTAATTGTTTTTAAAACTATAATTGATATTAACAAGTATATATCAACATGTATCTATTATTATTTTATTTTATTTTATTTTATTTTTATTTATGTATTATTTTTATTTATTCGAAAACACTCTTTTTACTATCATAAAACTATTTTCATTCTTATATGTGAAATAAGCATGAATAACGAATAATTATTTTCAAAGTTATTTATGCAAGATAATCTATTATTTTTAAATTACTAATTAAAATTAAAATAATTTTATTTACTATCTATAAAATTGAACAATAAATAAATTCAGTCAAATACTGCTCTAAATCACACTAAATTTGCGGATTAATTACAGAATATTCGAGGAAAAATGTATTTTCTATATGAAATTCGAAAACCGGTTAAAACCGGTTTTTTAGTACAATTAAAATTCGAAAACCGGTTTTCTGAAATGTCGGTTTTTGTACAAACCCTAGTACTGTACAATTCTTGAACACATCTTTTAATTGATTTACATTTATGAAACAATATTTAAAAAATATTACAGTCAAAAAATATAGAGCGCAATAAAATATTAATTAATCAAAGTTATATTAATCAAATGCTATAGATATGTGTAAACATCATAAACCGTATAATATAAACAAAAATTGAAAGGATAAATATTATATTTTTGATAATTTGTTAAAATAATTTTATGTGACTGGAAAAATGAGACATACGTAAGTGTTCAAAAATAAAATATTTTTCCACAAAAACTATTCATGTTTTGTATATAATATATGAGCTATTTATAAGCGCTAGATATATTTACATATCCTCTGTCTTGTATCTCGTATGTGTCTTTAAATTTAAATCAATTACTCGAACAACCTGTTCAATGTATACATACATAGGAGATGTCGAATATGATCAAGCAAATGTGCAGTTGTACCAGCGCTGCGGACCTAAACACAGAAGAAACTCCCGAGATAAAAAGTACGAGCAAAGTAACCACCTTTGCCATGTAAAAGAAAGTCCCCGGGGGCACTAGGGATGCAGATATCTATTTTATGGGTGTCACATGACGCAGTAAGCCGTAAAAGTGTTCAGGGTTTTTATGCGAACACAAGTTTTATACTTCGATCCAGTCAGGATAGTGTCGCTCAGGAACAAGTGAAGATCATTGAAGAAGTTGCATGAACTCAGTCGATGGGAAGACGGAGAGGCGACGGAGCAATCAAGATAAGAATGCTCGAACGATCCGGGCTTAAGAGCATTGCGCAGGGAATATTGTTCCGACTTGATCCGCTTTTCTATTTTGTTACATTGGAAATCATATTGATTATTAATTAAATTAACGTACGTCAACCATTATACAATACTTTGATCTAAATCTTTACCCCCACACATATAGGTGTTTTAGTGTTTTAATGGGTATGAATACTTAAACATTTGACCTTGCATTGATAATCTAATTAGAAGCATATAACAACAAAATTTATATTTAGTATTATGTTTTGATTTTACTGATGAAGGTTTAATGATATTTATGGAAAATCACTAACCGGCAGATCTGTATCACCTGACGTAAAGGTGAAGTATTTTTACAAACAGACACAAAACATAAAGAATGTAAGATACACGGCGAAAATTAACATTAAGAAGATAAAAACAGTACTAACAAGCAAATCGAGTAAAAAACAATAATTATATTTGAAATTTATAAATTACATAGGGGAAAGTTTCCGAGTGCCGGACACCTAAGGTTTTTTATAAATAAATCAAAAAATATTTTACGAAATGTTTATTAAATTATGACTCATGTTAGATAATAAAGTTAAAAATCAAACTAAATTAACAAAAACGCAATTTTTGCTAAACAATAAGTAATACTATCAATCAAACTTTGGTAACAAAAGATATGATTTTACAAAGTGGCACCTAGTACCGGACATTTCAAAATAACTAGCATTGAACACATATGGAGCCATCTCCGCACTCTGGAATGTCTGCACATTTGTGTTTGATAAATATTCTTAGATATTGCAAAAAAAATCAATAATTATCCACCCTTTTGGCTGGGCCACACCGATGTTCTCAGCTGGAGCATTCATCATAAGATTTTCATTTTTTGACTAAAAAATACCAAAAATGGAGGTATGCAGGGACCGTTAGCACTCATACAGAACAAAATTAAATAATTAGAATAAATTACGTCAATTCTCACAAGAAATATCAATATGTTTACTGTCCGGCACTAAGGGACGACTTAGTGTCCGGTGCTGAGGGACAGACATTTTCGTTCATTTGATTGCACCTACTAAAATTGGTTTAAAGATCTAATAATATTCTACCATTTTACGGATATCAATCAAGTACAACTTTTATTTTTGTATGCCACTTAAATATAAATGCATAAATACACATACAATTACTTCCATTGATATTTAGGTGACGCCGTGTTTTTGCGCTTTTCCGATTTTTAGTGATATGTAGGCAAACAACGGCTTAATAATTAATAATTGATAATTTAATAATAGTTAATAATTTTCACTTCCAAACATACAACTTACACTCGATTTCATCTGGCAATCATAAACAATTAAAAAAAAGTGTGTTTCTAAGCACTATCGTCAAATCAAAAGTGTGCAGCAATGAGTTAATCATATATTTCTACGGATCACTTATATGAAGAAAGGCAGATAAAAACTGCCTAAGAATTTCGAGATTTGGTGCTGTTAATGATTTTCAAAAATAAAGTGGCCTGGTAAGGCAAGACATGAAAAAATATTGCGGGAAAGGCAGAAAAATAACTAGAACTGAAATTATTATTTATTATTAATCATTTTTTTAAAAACACAACGCTACTGGACTAGGCTCATATTAGGAAATTAATGGCTTTGACATGACGCCATTAGAAAGAAACTTAAACGACTAATGTCAGAATTGACTGCACAGCAACCACATAGAATTTGTTAGTTAGTTTTTAGTACCATTTTGTATGAACGTACGAGCTTATCATAGCCTTGTCATAACGTTGGTCTACTTTTCAGCAGAATTTTTCATTTTAAAACCGGATTACCGGTAAATTACCGGTATTTTTATTATCTTAAACAAACGTAAACAAAATTGAAAGTTACTAGTACAAATATAAAACTAGTGGGGTGGGTGGCATCGTGCCTTAAGGCAAATTGCTGGAACTTCCCGTACCGTAACGAAATGTTCGAGGAATACTGAATGTTTTCAAATAGATTATTATAAATATTGTAACATTGTCTAATATTTATAAGAATTATATAAACTGAATTGCAAAGTTGAAATTATTTGTTTCAACAAAAAACTAAAAAAAAAAAAAAATCGAACAAAAATTTTTTTTCCCAAAATCAATTATTTTGTTAAGACAAGCAGAAAGTTTTTTGAATCATTCAAATCGGACGCTTAGTTCTCTCAAAAACTGCCATTTTTAGCTCCGTATCTTCGAAATATTTAGCTCCGTATCTTCGAAATGGCTGGTCCTGCCTTTGCCAAAAACTAATAAACACTTCTCCCAATCATTACTAATTGAATGTTTTTTAGATCATTCAAATCGGATACTCCGTTCTCTCAAAAATTCGATTTCTATTTTCCGCACTCTTTGCTCCGTATCTCCGAAACGGCTGAACCTGCCTTTGCCAAAAACTAATCAGCTCTTTTCCTTATCAATAGGAATCGAATGTTTTTTGAACCATTTAAATCGGTTGATCCGTGCGCCCTAAAACGTGACTGGAAATTTGTATCCACACATACATACACACACACACACACACACACACACACACACACATCCATTTTTTCTGAGGTATGCCAAAATGTTCAGAAACCTTCAAAACGTCGAGAAATGTAAAAATTTTCAATTCCGATTTTCGGCCCATTACAATAACTTACCCTACGGGAAGTTAAAAATGTATATACAACTACAACTATATTCAACTATATTAAACAATAAAAACAATAAAATAACACAATAAATTTTTTCAAATAGTAATTTAACAAAATTATATACAATTTAATTAATTTATTATCACTATCGAGTATATTGAGTACTTTTCACCAAAAACAAACTTATGAGTAAGAAAGACCAAAAACTCATGAAAGATCATATTACATTATTATAATAAACAATATTGTCTGTATCAGATGTGTTAAACTGGCATAATCTCCAATATTTAAAAAAAAATTCTACAATAATTTAAGATCGGATACTTTGTCGAGATAAATAATAATTTACTATAATTGTTGAGTATTGTTATTTAAAACAATGTGATGCTTCTATAGTATTTTCAACCTTCGAAACGTTTTTCAAAAATAATATTTTATAATTGTAATAAGAAGCAAAAATATTTAGTAATTATCATAACTATTATGCATAAAGTTAGAAAAAAATAGAGATTACGCAGGGTTAATACACAAAAAATAGAGATTACGCAGGGTCATTAAAAAACTGTTACATTTTTACATAAGATGAAACAAACATCATTATCTATCAGTCCAATTCTATTTATTGTAACACGATATGTAGCCCTTAGTAAAGCAATAAATATTAAGTTTAATGACGAGTTCAGATAATATTTGACATTTGTTTATCCTATAGAATCACTTGAAGATATAGCTGTTTATGCGATTATAAAATTTAAAGATAAATTTGTTCCGAGAAATTTCAACTTTAATGTATTATGTATCAAATAGCGCTTATGTAAAAATACCGAAAATACCGGTATTTTTGGGGTAAATGCCGGTAAAAATACCGCCGAAAAATCGGGCGGTTTACCGGTAATTTGGTATACCGGTATACCGGTATTGCATTCCCTATTGTGCATTATTCATAGCAGTTTGTACATGCACATGTTTATTAATATGTTATAAAACATAATTTTGTTTTGTGCTTATTATATTTTAAAAAACAAAAACAGTAACTGGAATTTATTTGTCGTACTAGTATTACGTCTCAATAAAACAAAAGTGATTGAAGTATCCAAATTTGGATTGCAGGTGGTCCCGGCTTGGTGAGCAGCGTTCGTACGCATTACCGCGGCCACAAGCTCTCGGCATGGCTGTCGCTAATTCCGCAGCTGCATGGAAATGCTGCAACTATGTCCGACTTGCCGCCGCGTCATCACCATTTCAGGGAAGAGGGTCCGCAGTATTATGATGGTGAGTTTGGAATTATAACAGTTATGCAAATTATGAAAGATAATTGCAAATAATAAAATTACGTAGCTATGTTTTTGAATGCAACTGTGAAATGTTCAATGTCAAATATGTGGGCGTCAAATATACACAAATGATGTTATTTTTTAATCTTATTATATAGGAATATTTTTGATATTACAATATCAAAATTTTTACTTATATTTATCAATAATTTTATACAAAGTATTTTTATAATTAAACTACTTAGTGTAAGCTTAGCTGTAGGCTGCACCTAATTGTTATACTTATTAATCACACATATATTAATATGTTGAATTATCATCGATTATGTCAATTATTTACAAATAGCAGAAAGTTCATGCAACTTGCCTTAAGGCAAAATGGCCCTTACCTCTAGTAATATCTCGAATGGGAAGTTTATGTTTTTAACTTCCCGCAAAATAAGTTATAGTAATTGCAAAAAAATCAAAAATATAATTTTCGTTTCAAAAGATTTTGAACATTTTGGCATACTTTAGAACAAATGAATTTATGTGTGTATGTATGTATGTGTGTATGGGTATGTGTGTGTGTACGGATACAAATTTTTGTCGACAATTTTAGGAACATCGATCAACTGATTTAAATATTTCAAAAACATTCGATTCGTATTGATGGGGAGACATGCTGATTAGGTTTTGGCAACGGCCGTTTTGAAGATACGTGGCAAAAAGTGCGAAAAATGGCTCTTCAGTTTTTGGGAGAACGGAGCGTCCGATTTGAATTTGTTTGAAGCATTTTGTGTGTATTGACGAAAAGAGGAATTGATTAAATTCTTGGTAAGCTAGGGCCAGCGATTTCGGAAATCTAACAAAAAAGTAAAAAAAAATGGAAATCATTTGGAGATCAAAAATGACCATTACACATATTTAAATCAACTTATCGGATATTTCAAAGAGATTTTAGTATTAAATACGAATTTTGTTTACATTTCTATGGGTCCCATACCAATGTTTATTTGTTAGATTCGCGGCGATAACGCGCTTTAATATTTTGTCTGTAGAACAGCTACACAACGCGATTGTTTGATAAAAATGTTCAAGATTTTCAAAAAAAATCTAATTTTTCAAAAAAGTCACATTTTTTCGAACATTTCAGTATTCTCAAAAATCCTTTTTTTTTCAAAGTTTTCAAAAAAAATATATATATTACTTTTTAAATTTTATTTTTGGTACAGGATGTTTTAGAAATTTGCCTTAATGCACGATGCAATGCACAATTAGTTTTATCTTTATTTGAAGAATGTGCACAATGTAGTGTACATTTAATAAAATTATATTCAATTCTTTATTTCTTCGCGTATAGTTTTGGAAAGTACTTTTAACTTATTGAATTTTTGACATAGTATTTTAAAGAATCCATGAACCACACATATACGTTGTTTTCTAAGATTCAAGTAGTAACCATGTCATAACACAAAACTTCAAAACTACTAACAAAAGTAACAAACTTTTGCTATTGAGACTCTGACGATCAACTTACTCGAACTTGCTGATATGAGATCACTTGTCATATAACCCTTGGGTAACATTCGTAATAAGAAACATTTTAAAATTTTACGTTCATATCACAATGTATTATTGTCTTGAACAGAATTTTGTGTATATTTATTACGATTTAATTATATTATATAATTATTCACGTATTCTTAGTAATTACTACTGCATTACGCTAATTATATAAAACATTCAAATCAAATTTTTGGTTGTGACATCATTTATGCAAATTTATTCTATAATTTTTCATAATTATTTTTATTATGTAAAACAAACATCAAATATTAAAGCGATGTCGATTATCAATTTTGCAATATTATTAAATATATAGCATTTTAGGGCAATAATAATTAATTAAATGCAATTGTATCCGACTAATTATGTTAGAGACTTTAAATTATTAACTTCCCGTACGATAAGTTATAGTAATCGCAAACAAATCGAAAATAAAATTTTCATATATCTTTACGTTTCAGAGGTTTCTGAACATTTTGGCATACCTTAGAAAAATAGATGTATGTGTGTGTGTAGACGATTTCGAGAACACGATTTGAATAATTCGAAAAGCATTCGATTTGTTTTGATAAGGAGACATGCTGATTAGTTTTCGGCAAAGGCAGGTCTAGCCGTTTCGATGAATTGAAAAGCCAAAAATGGTAATTCAGTTTTTGAGAGAACGGAGCGTCCGATTTGAATAATTCAAAAAACATTTTGTTTGTATTGACAAAATGAAGTACATTTTTGCAAAAGCAGGTCTAGCAGTTTTAGAGATCAAGTGTAAAATGTAAAAAACTGCCATTTGGCGATCAAAAATGATCATTAGACATATGCACTTCAAATTATCAGATATTTCATAGAGATTTTAATAATAGGGTAAGATATTGTTTACATTTTTATGAGTTCTCATACTAATGTTTATGCGTTAGACTGCGATGCGCCGCTTTGCTTTGAAACAAAGTTCAATATTTTCAGTGAAATTAACAGTATTAAAAAATTTGAAATATAAATAAGTCAAATTTCCAAAGTTTTCAAAAAATATTAAAGGTTTTTTTAAAAAAATAATTTTTGGTACGGGAAGTTCCAGCAATTTGCCTTAAGACACGATGCCATGCACCACTAATCAAAATGATTATTTGTCATGCAATGTAAATATTATAAACGGCATTAAAAAACACTTTAAAAAATTATTATTATTTTATTTCTTATTTTACAGGATCTGTACGTCCACAAAGTGTTTTTAAAAGCGCAGTACGTTCGACAAGCACCAAAGCTCCAGTCAGTACAACGCCGACGCCGAAAGAAACCACTACCACGCCTTCTACAGCAATTACCACAGGTAGAATTTCCTCTATAATGTAAGAAAAAATTAAGTTTAATGATGGTTATACGATTAACCCAAATTATGTTGATGAAGTAGAATATTTTTATTAAATTTACTAATGAAATTCTTTGCGGCCGATTTTTTTTCAATTTTTAAAAGCAATGCTGTCTGAGCATTGTATGATCATGTTAATGTAGGGCGCAGACGGAATGCAATAATGGAAACGTGTTTAAACAAACGTACTACATCCTTTTCCCTTTGGACCCTATGTCAAATTCAGTATATATTTCAGCTGTTATGGCGACTTTCACTACCGTATCCTGGTACAACCGTACCCAGTATTGCCTATTTTATTAATGAAAAGTGTATTTATGTCTACTATTAAGCTTACATTTCTCAAAGATTTTCACTTGATTTTGATAATTGTTTGCTTTACACTGGTTTAAACAAAAATAAAAATTTAAATAATTATTTATCCGCAAAGTTGTATATAAAATTCTGTAAAACGGTTATTTTATTTGGTAGCAATAATATCAATAATTTTTTTCTGGTGTGATATGTTTATGAAGCACAAAAAGCTTTTTGATTTAAAGCAGAATAAGAATAAATAGAAATTATGAACTATTTATATTACAAAACTCAAAAATGAATATGTTATTTCTATATGTTTTATATAGTTGCAATAATCTTGACGCTATTAATCTTATAATATAAGCTGGAATGTCCTTATTGATTACATCCATTATATGTGCTTTTTTATTTCCACATTACGGGAAGTTCATGCAACTTGCCTTAAAATAAAATTTCACTTACAATCACCTAACACCTTGGCTGCGGGTCGAAAATGTGTCGAAATCGCCTCAAAATAACTAACTAGTTAGTTATTCCTATCTATAAAAGAAAGGTCCAAAGAACAAAGGACACCACCGCCACTGAATTAGTGTTTTTACTTTTGAGTTTTTCATTCATATCAATACTTTTATCCATTAAAACACATATACCATATACATATTTGCAATAAAAATGAAACTATTTTCACTCTAGGTATAACTAAGAATAAGCCTGTCTTTCTTATCAAGCATCATGGTATTAGCAAGAGGCGAATATACTATATTTTCTTGCAAGTGTATTATTACTTTTAACCTCACAAATTGTTACAACATTTCTCACTCTGATAATAAATAAAAATAGGTGTCGACATTCAATAACCCGCATTACGAGAGGATCACCTATTCCGATTTGGCTGTCGATAATGTATCAACACCTTTTAATTTTCCAGAAAAAACTTAATAATCAATAAAATACTTCATAATGCAATCGAATTAAAAGATATAATCGAAGGAGAAAGGAAACTATTTTTTTTAATGAAACGTTCTATCATAGGAAAACGGTATAGGTTCAAAGACCTCCGCAGTCAAGGTGTTAATATATAGTCATAGTCTTAAAATATTATAAACAAATTTATATTTCAGAATAAATTTTGTTTTTTTTTAATTAAGTTAAATAGTTAATGGTTACTATACTATAGACATGACAAATATAGCCGTCAATACACAACATTCTGCCACTTATATTTATTTATTTATTTATTTATTTTATTTATACAGTACAATTGTACAATGGTACATAACTTAAATTAATAGATAACATACTATATTAAATGAAATATAATTTACAAAAAAACAAATGTTCACTTGAAATCTTATTCTAATTTTCACAGAATAGTTTACTGAAAATTATAATTTAAATACTCATCAATAGAGTAAAAAACTTGCTCTTTAAAAAATGTATTGAGTAGTTTATAAAATTTCCTATTTTCAACTTCTCTAATACCTAGTGGCAGCTTATTGTAAAGCATTATGCCCAGACCATCTAAGGTATTAAATGTAGAGGCAAATTTCAATGTGGGACCTTTTACAAGTTTATGTCTTGTGTCATAATAAATACATTCGGGATTTGGGCTTAAATTAAACAGGTTACCATTATTTTTTATAAAGCAGAGGGTGATTAGGAGAAAAATGCATGGAACAGGTAGAATCTTGTGCTCATGGAAAAAAGGTCGACAAGATGTAGTGGACGAAAGGGAAAATATAACTCTGATTGCTTTTTTCTGTAATTGAAAAACTGATGTTAGTAGCGGTGAAAACCCCCAAAATTGAATGCCGTAAATTACATTAGAATAAAAATATGAGTATATATATATATATATATATATATATATATATATATATAAAATTACATATATAAATATAAAATTTCCTAGACTAGCTAGATTTGCTGCGTAAATTTTACATATTTTTACATATGTGAATAAACATCGCTAAAGTTAAGAAACTTGCACATCAGTGAAGAATCCATCCAATACATCTGCGAAACGAGCATACATTTTTTAATTTTATACTCGATTGTTTAATTTTATAGAATCAATAGTGTTCCAAATACATTTTTTTAAATTCTGACTGTACATTAAAAATTCAGTATTGATGTATCGCTATAGTATCTTCTGTTGTTATTTTACATAGCACTATTGGCAGTATAAAATGAAGTCACTAGGTCAGTCGATCTGGCAAGAATTCCAATAGGATTAGTAACTTGTGCTGGCTTGCAAGTTGATACGTTATTACATGGCATCAGTGACTCATGAAACACATTGTACCACAAATTGTTTTGTCTAGAATGCGTAAACACGACAAGCGTTCCCGGAGTCCTGCTGGCTTCCACCCCGATCACGACGCCGGTCGCCAACGATACCGCATACACAGGAAATAATCTATTGCGAAGTTTGGCAACCAAATATCACAGCTACGCAACGGCGTTGGGCGTCACGATTGCCGTTGGCTGCTTCTTACTTCTATTGAATGTGCTCATCTTCGCTGGAATTTATCACCAGCGCGGAAGAGGTAAATTATAATATAATATAATATAATATACATAAATATATATATATATATATATATATATATATATATATATATGTGTGTGTGTGTGTGTGTATAAGGTGTCCCAGACCTTGACGAAACGAGGGGATAGTAATGACCCTACCTGTTCTTAAAATTGTGAGCTTTTAATTGCAACCTAGACCTTTGGTGAAATTATGACTATTTTTTGGTTATTGTGGTTAACTAAGGTGATCCTACGTCCCCGTTTGGCCGGCACAGTTTCGGATTTCCATCTTGTGATTTAGATCTTTTGTTCCAGATTTTTACGGGTTTTCGAGAAGTAGAAGTTTGAACTATCAAATAATTTTTGAAATTATTAACTTCCTGAAGGAGAAGTTTATGTTTTCATCAAAAAATCCGACTCGCTAATTGTATGTTTTCTTGACGTTTTAAGCCATTCTGAATCGAAAGAGACCAAATTTGGAAAAAGTATGTGTGTGTGTGTGTGTGTGAACAGATTTTTTGCCGTAAATCGACTTTTTCTCCAAAACAGCTAGATCGATTTCAAAAATTTAAAAGCCATTCGATGTATCTCGATGAGGACTAGCGTTTCTGAGATTTGTGCGACGATCGGCCCGGCGTTTTAGCCCGCAATTCTGAATCGATTTTGAAAATTCAAAAACCGTTCGATAGATATTGGTTGGGAATCGTGCTGATTAGTTTTTGGTAAAGATCGGCCGGGCCGTTTTCTTGTAATAAAGTTTTTAAAAAAATTGTCGATTTTTATGATTTTTTTGGCATTTGTCAAAATTAGACCTTCAATCGATGTTTTCTCAAAAACGCCTAAACCGATTTCAGAAATTTGAAAGCCATTTGATGTATCTCAATGACGACCATCGTTTGTCTGTTTTGTGAGACAATCTGCCGAGCCGTTTCTTTGTAATTTGAAAAAAAAGTGTTAAACTTTACCGAATCGCTTTTACAAACTCACAAATTTTTCGGAAGATATTAGTTGGGAATGATACTGGTCAGTTTTAGGTGAAAATCTACCAAGCCGTTTTCTCGTAATTAACTGTTGAAAAAAAAAATTAAGCCGATTTTTATGGAACTTTGTTTGGCGATATATATCATGGCCTTATAGAACTTACTGAAATATTACGGCCTTGCGACAAGTAGTTTAGATTTGAAAATTCATCGAAGTTTGAGAAAATGAGTAGTTTTTTTGACGTTTGTTAAAATTAAAATTAGACGATTTACTTGGTATAACGATAGAGTACTTGGTCTTATTGCACATACTGAACCATTAAAGTCCTACTGAAACTGGTTCAATTATAAAAATTATTGATTTTTGAACATTTGCTTTTATAAAATACTCCGAGTTAACGTGTTCGCTCGTTTTCAATTATGTATGATAAATCCACTCGGAATACTTTTATTCACTCATAAATGAATTTATTTTTTATTGATTAAGTCGAATATTTACACATATTCGGCAAAGGCAAAATGCCAATACCAACTATATAGTTTGATAATAAAATTGGACAAATGAAAAAATATACAGAGCTGAAAAGCATATGAATTGAAAAATATAAGATATAATATAACATCATAGGTAAAATAAGAGATAACATATAATCGAATAAAAAGTTATTACTAAAAGCCCGTTTTCATAAAAATTGATTTATCAAAAAAAAATTTAATAATAAATAGTATATGTTATTTTAAGATCATATTTTAGGTATTTAGCATAAACACTAACCCTTTCCCCGTCCCGGGTCACCATAACAAAAATTTGCCGTCCCGGTTTTCACTTTAAAAATATAGTCACCTTAGGTTAACATTTATTAATTTTGTTTAGTTAAACCTTTGAACCGTAACCGTGAATAACATTTCTAGGGCCACAATCAAAAACATTAATACAATTGCCCCAAGTTTTCAAGAATTAAGACTGTTTGTTGAACTATGAATGTAAAATGTTCAAAATCAGTCGACTTTGAGAGGCCCTCCTTCTGAGTTTCATCAAAAATTGGCGCATTTAATCGGGATTTTAATAGTGCAAAATACTTGATAATATTATTATTGAAAAATTTCGAGTAAAAAATAAACCTAAAACTGACATGATTTTTGAGAACATGTATACATAACAAATGCATATATATATATATATATATATATATATATATATATGTGTGTGTGTGTGTGTGTGTGTGTGTGAGTTATTTAATTTAATCATCTCTATTTAATACTCTCTAAATACTTTATAAATCCGACTTATTTTTCATTGCGTTTTAATACATTGAAACGAAAAGAGGATTCAAATTAAATTCTTTATAAAAATATTTTAAAAATGCCTGTGATGAATTGCACTTTATTACAAATATTTGTAAATAATAAATTATAATGAATTAATTCATTGTAATATATAATTTAGAGAGAAAATTGTCTTAACGAAACATTAAAATTATTTTGGAAGCACGTAATTAAGTGCCTCATGATGTATTTTATACCATATAATGTAAGTAAAACTACATAAAGGATAAAAATGTAATTAATAATTTATTTATTTACTTATCTATTTGCCTTTATATATACAAATATTAAATTTTTATAAATTAATATTAATTGTTTTTTATGTAGTTTAACTCTATTGACATTTATAATTTATTTATTTATCTATTTATGATTAAGTAGGATTAGTACAAGATTTTAGCGCCGAAATTAATAAATTAATTACAAATTTTATGTTATCTTCTAATTGAATTTTACAGAAAATGGGAGTTTGTCTTGTGCATTGATTATAGTTTTAATTTATAGATTATATTAACTTTTGTGTTAATATTTATTTGGTATAGATTTATACCTGGCCATTACTATTAATTGCATATTTAAAATTGTTTGTTAAAAGTTGTGTAGGTATTCTGATGCTATTTGTCTCATTTACATATTAAACATTGTAAAATCTTTAGTTTCAATTATAATAATTTTCACAAGGCAATGAAATTTTGCATTGATTGTATATAATGAAAAATAGTATAAAGAAACTACAGTAGTGCCCCTACGCACTGGTTGAAATCGTTTCGTAATCATGCTCGATATAGAATCGCTCGTATCTCGAAGCATTTTTTTTCATATTACATTTCGATTTCCATGTATTTGCATTAAAATGCTATTCGTTTGAATGTAAAATATACATTTACTATGTATTAATTTAATTATTGTTTTTTTCCTGACATTTATGGTATTGCAAACTCCCATGCTCGAACAGTTGCAACTTTTTCGAGGTGATTTTGATCCACAAACTTTTAGAGCTCTGAAAGATGTTTATAAATTATTGTAAGGCTCTTAGCTCGAGCTATACTCTGTATCAACTCCTTATTTCACGCTTAAATTCTAGAGATATTACAAAAGTAAATAATATTTTGTAAATGTACAAAAAGCTAAAACGCGACTCAACATATACGAGTATAACAGTACAGTCAATATTAATGTATAGTTAACGCTTTAAACGTTGAATTAATCCTGGATATATAAGTATGAGTAAATCATTACCACAAAATTATTATGCAAATATAATTGAAATTATTGACTATAAGATAATTTATCATAAAACAGCCAAAATATTTCTATAGTAGGAAATTCATTGTTACAACTAAAAACTAACGAAATTTATCATATTTTCATTTGGCCATTACCATTTTTCTAAACAACTAATAGTTGCTTAAAGCTCGTAGCTCGAATTTTGCTTGTATGCCCAAGCCACAAATTGCTCCTTCCCAGCTCATATCTCTAAACACTCGTATGTCGGTCTGGATTCCATCATAATTGATTTTTAAACCATATATAGTTATAGTAACCGTCCTTCATGGCGTAACGGTCTAACGCGCGGCCACGTGTGGGAGGGGTTGCAAGTTTTAGCCACCGCTCTGACAACCTGATATCGTTCTGCATCGATGTGTCTTTTCATTTGAAAGTATAGATCAAGAATATGTTACCAATTGAAAATAGCCCATTTCGGGAACTGCGGTGCTATATGGCAATGGGAAATATCTCACACTATTCTGAATCGAGTTGGTGTTCAACTTAGCAGCCGTACGGCAGTACCACTCGATATTATTATTAATATTTTTATATGATTATTAAATATAAAAATGATTTTATTAATACGCAGGAACACAAAATTAAAAAAAGTTGACAGAATTGGGTATGCGACATATGTTTTCCAATAAAGTCTTCACCGCTGAAAATGAATCTAAAGTCAAAATCAAATGGAATCAAATAGCAAATTGAAAAAAAGTGAAAATTTCCGATCTAGTAATTCTTCTGCATGATATTTTAAATCTTATAATTTTTGTTGTTTTCACTTGGATGATCCATTAATTTGTTTTGTAGAATACAGCAATATTTTGCCAACACATTTTAGATATTCAAATTGCAAACATAGTTGCAGATTACCCAGAAGCAATATGTTTGCAAATTACTGCTGAATTATATAAAAAAACTCTATAGATCATTTAATTAAAACTTGATATGAAAATTTAAATTTAATAGTCATTTAAGGTAAAAAAGACCTAAATGAGAGAAATAACAATACTTCGATTATTATGCAGAAGAATTACTAGATCGAAGATTTTGTCATTTAAAAAAAATAGTGGGGTGCATGGCATCGTGCCTTAAGGCAAATTGCTGGAACTTTCCGTACCGTAACAAAATGTTCGAGGAATATTAAATATTTTCAAATAGATTATTACAAATACTGTACCATTGTCTATTATTTATAAGAAACAAAATTGCAAAGTTGAAATTATTTGTTTAAAGTATATTAGAATTTTAGTCAGAATTAAATTTAAAATCTGAATTATTTTCATTATACAAAAAATACAAAAAAAACATTTTTTTTTGAAAAAAAATTGAAAAAAAAATTTTGAAGCAAAACATTTTTTTTCGAAAGCAATTATTTTGTTGAAGCAAACAGAAAGTTCTTTGAATTTGAAACGTTTAGTTCTCTCAAAAGTTGCCATTTTTGTACATTTAGCCTTGTATCTTCGAAATGGCTGAACCTGCCTTTGCCAAAAACTAATCACCTCTTCTCCGAATCATTACAAATTCAATATTTTTTAAATCATTCGAACTGGATGCTCCGTTCTCTCAAAAACTCGATTTGTATTTTCTTCACCCTTTGCTTCGTATCTCCGTAATAGCTGAACCTGCCTTTACCAAAAACTAATCAGGACATTTCCTATCAATAGGAATCGAAAGTTTTTTGAACCATTCAAATCGGTTGATCCGTCCGCCTGAAAACGAGGACGAAAAAATGCGGACATACAAAACACACACACGCCTCAATTTTTTCTGATGTACGCCAAAATGTTCAGAAACCTTCAAAACGTCGAGAAATGCAAAAATTTTTATTTTAGATTTTTGGCCCAATACTATAACTACCCTGCGGGAAGTTAAAAAAATCCAATTGACCCACAAATTTTTTATAAACATTCGTTTATAGCGTTAAAAACTACATTGGAAAACATATGCCGCATACCCAATACAAAGAAGATTTTTATTTTGTGGGTTTGAATAATAACTACGGATTTTGTCAATTTTTTTCTTTTTTTACCATTTGACCCCTATTTTTTACTTTAGATTTGTGTTTAGCGGTAAAAACTACATTGGAAAACGTGTGCCGCCTAACCAATACAGACAACTTTTTTTTATTTTGTGGACTTTGAACAATAATTACAAATTTTGTCGTCTTATTTTTTACTAAATTTTTAGTTTAGATTCGTTTATAACTGTAAAAACTACATTTTTAAAACACTTTCTAATTTAGTGGACATGTGTTATTAACTTCCCGTAGGGCAAGTTATAGTAATCGCAAAAAAATCGAAAATGAAAATTTTTATATATCTTTACGTTTCAAAGGTTTCTGAACATTTTGGCATACCTTAGAAAAAATGGATGTAAGTGTGTGTGTGCGTGTGTGTGTGTGTGTGTATGTGTGTGTGTATGTATGTACGTGTGTGTATGTATGTGCGGATACAAATTTTCGTCGACGATTTCGGGAACACGGATCAACCGATTTGAATAATACAAAAACATTCGATTCGTATTGATAAGGAGCCGTGCTGATTAGTTTTTGGCGAAGGCAAGTCTAGCCGTTCCGAAGATACGGGGCAAAAAGTGCCGAAAACGGTAACTCAGTTTTTTAGAGAACGGAGCGTCCGATTTGAATAATTCAGAAAACATTTTACTTGTATTGACAAGATGAAGAATCCATAAAATTTTCATGAAGGTAGGTCTAGCGGTTTCGGAGATATGGAGGAAAAAGTAAAAAAATGAGCCATTTGGCGGTCAAAAATGATCATTAGACATATGCACATCAAATTATCAGATATTTTATAGAGATTTTAACAATAAGTATACATTTTGTTAACATTCCTATGGGTTCCGTACCAATGCTTATGCGTTAGACAGCGACGCGGCGCTTACGCGCTTTATATTTTGTCCCTATGCAGTTAAAGCAGTACGATTGCTTTGAAAAAAAGTTAAGATCTTCCACAATATGTCAAAATAAAGAACAATTTTTTTTTCAAAAAAAAATTAAAACAATTTTTTTTTTTTTTTTAATTTTTTTCAAAAAAAAGTAATTTTTTGTCCAATTTATAGTTTCTCAAAAATCTTATTTTTTCAAAGTAATTTTTTTTTCAAAAATGTTAATCGTTTTTAAAAAAATAATAATTTTTGGTACGGAAAGTTCTAGCAATTTGCCTTAAGGCACGATGCCTTAATTGCCTTAAGACAGAATTCCACTTACAGCTAGTTATTCGTATGTTTCAATGGCAATTTGTACTTTAGGGAGACGTCGTTGCGAAGGTGGGGATAAAAAATCCCCGTACAGCGATCACGAAAAAGCAAAAGTGGCTGAACAGTCGAAACAGTCGCCACCGCAAATGCAGCGATTCGGCGAATACAGTTGCTACGACGAAAAGTTGTCGAGCTGCGCCGAGAAACGTCCGCTAGCCGATGTCGCCCTCTGTGAGTACCGACGCTCACCCGGGCACGGGCCTCTCGTTGTTGCCGGCTGCGCGGCGAACGCGGGACAAGGTAGCGGTACACACACGCCTTCCAGAAGCAGCATTGCAGGTAATTATGTCGACAAGAAACTAATAAAATAATAATCAATTAATCATTAAGGGGGGCGATACATGTAATCGCCTTAATTTTTACCATGTTTTGAGGACTTTTTAAACTGGGAAGGAATGACTGAATCTTTTTGAACTTTTTTAGGGTTATTTATTATATATTAAAATACACAAAAAAAAATTTTTTTTTAATTTTTTTTTTAAATGGCTGCCGTAAAAATAAATCTGCCAAGACCCTCTCGGAAAACGCCATCAATTTGCGGGCGTTCTCACTTTTCGTGCGGTGATTTGAAATCAAAAAAATTAGTTTGTACGTGTTCATAAAACATATATCTTCTAGTTAAACCAAAAAAAAATTAAAAAAGTCACAAAATCGTAAATTGGCACACCTCAGAAAAAAAAGTTCGATTTTTCACCTTTTTTTCAATGTTTTTTTTTGGTAAAAGGGTTAATTTTTGAAATTTTTTTTGGAATGTTTGAGGTTTAACTAGAAGCTATTACTGTAAAGTAGATGTGTGCAAAATTTCATTGGAATCGGTTGAGAACTTTTTGAGTCATCGCGCCCGCAAATTTCAAAAATGTCGTTTTGAGAAAAACGCGTTTAAAGTTTTGACACATAGAAACAGATAAGAGTATTATAGCACTCGAGCGTCGATTTGAGGCGTGGCACTTAAATGAGTTTTTATTGTATAAATAATGATAATTTTGTTTTGAATATTTACAGGCATATTTTTGAGATGTTATTGTAACGATTTATGAAAAAAAAAATCGATTTTTTTTTCTTGTTACATGTATCGCCCCCTTTAAACAATTTGTTGTTACTTTTCGTTGGTGTGAGAATATAATTGTTTCTGTCTCAGCTGGGTTGGGATCTTGGGTTATGCATGTTATCGATTAAATCGGCTAGTACCGGCATAGTACGGCTCGCTTCGGTTTGTTGACATTTTATTGATATCGTACACTAATGTCAAAATTAGTATATTGTCTAGGGTCAAAAGGTTCAAGTTTACTAGTTATAATAATTTTAATTAATTATATTATTATTGTAATATGAGTACTAAACTAGATGTTCAATGGTCTCAATCGGATCCTTACAAATTTCTAACCTGGGGTGCTGAAATAACATTGCATGAAATCGTATCTGAAAATGAGACTAGCAAAAGGTCCTATATGAAAATATCTGATGACAGTTATGCTGAAGTTTTAGCCACTAATTCTTCACATCATTACGTTAAGTGTGTTGACATTAATCCTAAATCAGTTCCTGCATTAGTAGCAGTGGGGTTAGCCAATGGCAAAGTCAGTCTCATATCGTTTGGTCCACAGGATCATTTAGGACTAGCAGGAAAGGAAATAGTACCTCGCCATGCACGGCAGTGCACTTCATTAGAATGGTGTAAAACCGAAAATGCCTTATTAGCAATAGGTTTAGATAAATGTCGGCCGGACAATTGTATAAAGCTTTGGGATGTTGAACACGGTGGAACGACTTCAGAGGTTGGTTTATCTGATTCAGCACATTCTCTTTGTTGGCTAAATCAATCAAAAAGTTTACTTGCCGGCATGAGCCAGAAATATCTAAAGTTAATTGATGCAAGAGACTCGCTTAAAGTAGTTAATACTGTAGCTACAAAAGCTGTGTATGGTGTAGCTGTAGATCCACAGAATGACAAACAAGTTGCTAGTTACATTGATAATATTATTGCCATGTGGGATTTGAGAATGTTTGACAAGCCCGTTATTACTGTGTCTCAAGGCAAAATTATTATAAAAGTACAGTGGTGCCCAACAAGAAGTAATTTACTAGGATCAGTACATAGGGATAGCTCTATGCTTCATTTACATGATATAAGACGGACACTTCTAAATTCCGATGATTGGGAGCCAGTCGTACTCGAGAGATCTGTTTATCCTGCTTCAGTACAAGACTTTATTGGTAGCCAACCTAATTCAAGTTCCATAGCACCTCTGAGTTCTTTTTGTTGGCATCCTTCATTTGAAAATCGATTACTGGCAACCAATACATCAGGTGCCATAATGGATTATAAAGTTTGTGAACGAATTGCTATGACATACAGCAAAACCAATGATTTAATGTGGTCGTGTTCAAGACAGTCAATAAAATTATTAAAGGAAAATGATATTGAGAGTAAATGGCCCTTTAGTATTGATATTTCAAATGTAATTAAACGACGTGCAAGCTTAGATTATGGTCTCAAGCACGACTTAGAATCAAACGGTCCTCTAGCAGAAGATGAAACACTTTGCACAGCGTGGCAGTGGTTGAGTTTAGCTCAGTCTATGCCCCTAGGAACCGCTGGTGGTGTTAGAGCTGCTCTTAGAATGGACGGGGGCTATGCTGTAATCATTAGTGAAGTTATGTTAACACCTTGGCCAGATTTTCCTGGCGCTTCTGGTGTTAAGATGTATAGAAGTGAAGAACGAGAACTGGCTTTGCAACTATGTGGCTGGGATTCGGGTGTTCTGGACAGACTGGTTGGACAGCATCAGTATACAAGAGCAGCAGCGGTAGCTACTTTTCAATTGAAAGTAAAAACAGCTAGTGAAATCTTAGTGTCTGGTGCTGAGAAGACATCTGATAGTAATTTGTACTCTGTCGCAATGGCTCTAGGTGGTTTTACAGCTGAAAGAAGCGCATTGTGGAGGCAACTATGCTCACAGTCTAGGCAACATTTAACAGATTGTTATTTGCGTGCTGCTTTTGCTTTTCTGACATGTGAGCATGATTCTTATGATGCTGTTTTGAATGAAACTGGAATGGCTGTGGCAGATCGTGTCGGCTTTGCTTGCACATTTTTAAATGACAATAAACTTTCTGAATATTTAAAGCAATTAACCCAAAAGTTAACAGATGAAGGTGATTTAGCTGGATTACTATTAACAGGTACCAGTATAGAAGGTGTAACATTATTGCAAAACTATTTAGATGCGACTGGAGACATGCAGACTGTCAGTTTGATTGCTATTCGAACATTTCCCAATGATTTATTGGCAGATGGTCAAGTTCAAGATTGGATTAATAGCTATCGCGAGCTTTTGGACTCTTGGTTGATGTGGACTCAAAGGGCACTGTTTGACGTTGCTCTCCAAGGTCGCAGCTCCACTAGGCCGTCGCAGTCCATTTACGTCTCATGTAATTTCTGCGGAAAAACATTATCACCATATATGCAAGGTGCCCGAGGAAGAGCTATGCAAAGATTTCCAGGAAAATCTAAGATGTCGTCCTGTCCGAACTGTCGCAAACCACTGCCACGATGTGCTGTATGTTTGATGCACATGGGAACTGCTAGTGGGGATTCTCCATTGCGTGGCTCTGTAGGAGGCATTAGAAATACCCAAGTAACACCCTCTAAAACGACGGAGTTTGATGCTTGGTTCGCATGGTGTCAAATGTGTCGACATGGAGGTCACTCCAAACATATTGTTGACTGGTTCGAAGATCATGTTGAATGCCCAGTGACATCATGCAGTTGCAGATGTTTTACAGTTGATTCTGTTGGACTTTCTAAATTATGTATTAAATAATATAAACAATTATGATAAAGACATAAATAACAATATAGATAGGATAGAACATATTTAATTAGTTTGTAAAAATATATATTTATTTATAAAACAAATAGATGAACAAATATACTATGGGGTACGATACATATTTTTGTTATACGAAAAAGAAATTTATTATATTAGACAACTGCGAAATGGTGCGAAGGGTAGGAACTAGATACAATAAAAATGAAGAACGAAGTGTTTTAGTGCGATGATTGATTTTTTACCAATATGTTTTTAATAATCTGTGTAGTATACGTAATCTTTTATTATTCATCTTTCGACGGTTTAAAATATATAACAAATTTTAATAATTTGCGCTCTTAGGTTCTTCCTCGTACAACACGAACTCTCGCCGCTGCAGTTCGATCGGGGTGGTCGGTCCCCAAGAAGCTGCATGTCGCATCGCGGCAGACGCCGATACTGATGCCGATCAAACGGATTCAGATCCGGCCCCGCTGCCGGATCCGGATCAAGACATTCCGGAGCCGCCGCCACCCCCGAGAAATCAGCCGCCTCAGTCCGGTATTCTGCGTGCGTCCAGCGTCGTTCAGGCCGGCGCGGGCAAAAAACGCGTGCAAATACAAGAAATAAGCGTTTAAAATCTGAGACCAATTGAAGTGTCTGTTTTCGAGTAGCCAAGCTATATGAACTTATACAAATCATGTTTCATTCGGCATTCATTTTTTCAATAAGTGCAACCCTTACCCTCCATCATCCTCGCCTCATCGCGTGTGATAAAATGTGTGATGCATCGGTGTGTGATTTTCTCATGTTTAGTCTTCGGAGTCTTGTTAATTATTTAACTATAGGTGTTTCATATATAAAAGTTCAAATGCCCAGCGTTGACAGATGTGATTGGGCCTGTATACAATATATATATTATTATTATAAACCGTATTAAATTATATATGGAATTGTACGAAATCTATTTATAAAATATATACGAAATTCTCTTGATATACTAACAGGAGTTTTAATTGTTCTAATTTTTTCAACAAGTCCACCGTGGGAAATGCTATAAATACAAGATACCAGTTATCATTTTTAGTAGTTAACTGATATTACAGAAAATATTCTCAAATAAATTTCATGCATGATCTACATTGGGTTTTATGCATTAATAAAAGGTCCCAAATATTTATTTCAATTTTCAATAGATAATGGTGTATGACCGCAACTATTGTTACCAATAATTAAAGCATGTTGTTGTGTATCTGATGCATATTCTAATTATTTTTGTTTCATAAAAACTAAAAAAAAAAGAATAATTATAAGTAAAATATTTAGTAGCAGCATGAATGAAACTAGATAATGATGATAAGCTTTTTAATCCGACTTTAATAGTTTTTCTTACACAATGTTATAGATCTGTAAATAAAATAGGGCAGAGCGCAGGTAAAAAAATCCACCACTAATATCAAAAAACTAATATTTTATTTTGTTGTTAGTTTTGTTGTGAGCATTGTTTTTTTTAGTTCACGTGACCTTAATATAATATTTAAGTATACGCCATTTAATTGTTCTGTAAAATTTATTTATAGTTAGTTTGAGTAAAAAGACTAAACCTTTATCCTGGCAAATAAAGGCATAAACAATCAAAAAAATGTATTAAATAAAAATGTAAATTCAAGTAAATCAAATTAATAGTTGTTTCAACTCTGCTGATGAATAGTTTGGTCAAAATACCAAATTATGGCTATATACACAATTATTTTTATTGTGAAAAATATATCCATGAAAATTATATTATACATTGGTTTGACATGGTAGCTATTATATCGTAAAATTCCTTTAAAAACAAGAACTGTTTGCCTTCTGGCTGTCTCATTTTACTCCGCCCTACCCAGTTCAAAAATAAGAAATAAAAATAGTTTTTCAACAATAAATCAATATTTATTGAAACAACATTTGATGTATAATTGTTTGCTAAATCTTAACCCAATTGCACTTTATTTGTTTTTATTAACTTAAATCTATGTGCATCTGAATTATAATGTAACATATAATCAAAATTAGGCAAATTTACTAATATCCTAATATAGTCCTATTTATCAATTAATTAATATTTCCAATAATGATTGTAAAAATTAAACTTCAATGAATTTTACATAATTTGTTTTGAGTTGTAACTCAGTTTTACCATTTAATCAATTAAGAATATAAATAAAGTACATGTTTTTTCAAATTCTAAAACAAACAGTATAAAATAGGCATCAATCTGAATGAAAGTTCAAGAGGTTGTTGTTAGTTCTTTATGCCGATCGTGAATTGACACAAGGTTCATTGCACAACTTAAGTGTAATTATCTACATATCGATAATGAAAAACTATATTGTTTTTTTTTTTAAATAACATTTTTTTTATTTTGCTATATTATTAAATAACAACGCAACTCTTTCAATGTTTTATAAACATCATTCTTTTCATATGAAATTTTGACACTCTTCGAAATATTAAAATTTATTATGTTTACATGTTACTCAACCAGTATTAACATTGTCATATTAAATTTGTGGTTCCAATATATACGCGTATGGATATTTAACTACTTGCAAATTATCATTACTTAATTATTAATAACTACGTTCTTTATTTATCTAAACACTACAAAAGTGTTTTTGTGACTACTAACAATTGGTCGCAACATATTTACAAAACTATTAAATTTATGCAAAAAGTCAGAACCGTAAAAAGTTTCGCACCATAAAACAGCATGCACTTGTAAAAATTGAAAAATTTCCAAACATGAAAAAATACTTTTTAGTTTACGTTTACAATATCGGTGCCCATATTTGAATATCAAATGTATGAAATAAAAATTACTAGATCTATTTATAATGACGATGTATATCTAATTATCTAATATATAATTAATTGGCACTGTCAGCCACATGAAAGTGAGATTTATTTTCGTGCGCACTTCATGAAATGCCTATTGGGAATCGTGCCCGTCATGTGTACCTTATTTCGTGTTTTCTGGCAGCACTACTGCCTCAAGAGCGATAAATTTATCACATATAAATCACTTTTCCACAAGGATTATTTTTACTTTGAATTTGAGTTCAACTCTGTTATTACAGTAGTATTTTGAGTTGCCTCATATTGATTATTGCTTCTTATAAATACATTATATCGAAAATAATTTTTCCTCTTACACGAATACATAAATCTGTGAGACCAAAATAGACAACCATTATTATCTTTTAGTTATAATTTCGAGTACATTTTCACGGACGGAGTCTATGTGCCCAAGCAATTTAAAAAATGCATGTATAAAATACTTGGGCAATATCTTTATTTATATATTTTTGGGGAATTTAGGCACTATTACACTCAGAGTCTAATAATATCTATATACATACTATATATAGGAAAAATACGGACAAAATGACATGAAATTTAGTTTTTTATTCATAAATCATATTATAACCAGTCTCAATCGTTATTACTCATCTTAGGTTTATTGGCTACCAGTAACATAGTCTTTTATTTATGTAATAACATATTAAGGGAAAATGCAAATAATTACAAAAAACATTTTGACCATATAGTACGGACTATGTGACATTTAAGATTGGGACATAATTTTTACAGTTTACAAATAATTTTTTTACTCTTTGGGACATCAGCTCAGCACATAACGCACGAGCTCAAAGGGAACAAATCATATAACGTAACCAACCTTCGTCGGGCTCAAAACTAGAAAAGAGGTCGAAAATTACTAGTACTGGTGTGAATTCATTGATTTTAATGGAAATAATTGCAAATAACAATGAATAAGTTCCAAAAAACATCATAAAACCACCTTCAAAATTAACTTTTGAAAGCGTGATATACATTTAAATTGATTACTCCAACAAGATTGTGGCAATGACGCTCAACATCTGACAGGATTGTGATTATAATTTTTTTTATATTTTACTGCCGCTAGCACGTTATTAAGACTAGTCCATTTTGTCCGTATTTATTTTTCTGCTATATATACCTATACATGTCAATGTTCTAATATTATTTCTTATCAAAAATCTTAGAAATAATTATGGCTATTATAGTAAATACTATTAACAATTTTTTATCATTTCAGTACAAAACAGCGTGTGATAAGATTGTCTCAATTTGTATATGTTATATTTATGAATAAATGGTAAAGCAAATAGCGCTTTATAAACAACAGTAAATAAAATCATAAATTAGGTTCTGAAAAAATTATATATGTGGTTTATTATGGTTAGATTTTGAAAAAAAAATTGTCATTAGAATGCTTTTGACAAAATAGTTTGTTTGTTTAAAAGTTCCTGGTTTAGTATTAACAATGTAGTTTTATAAATGCTTCGACTTGTTTGTATCATGTTACAAGAAAATTGATAAATATGATATTGTGAATTTTGCAGCTCATATACCTTAAAATTAGATTATATATGAGTGTCTAATTGATAGCTGTCCACGTCACTGAACATTCCACGTACTGGGTCCCGTTTGATCAAATTAGTTTTGGTCACCACGTTTTGTTTGCCGGCGCCTATGTGTCCATTAGGTAGTCCTCCATTTGGCAAATTAGTTTGTTCCTGTTTTCTACTAATAAGTTCGCTGACCGTGGGTACGGTTCCGGGCGCCTCTTCCAAATCATGCAAGACGGCTGCGTCGTTCCTGGCTAGCGCCTGCCGTACCCCAGTCGGGCCGTTCATGGGAACATTACTCGCAGCCCCCGATGCAAGCGGGCCGGCAACTTTGGCAACTGACTTGGCAAACTCGTCGCGGACGGGTCGGGTGTCTGTATCGCCATCAACCTGGTATAATTGATCGTAGTAAATGAGTAACATTAAACATGTTTGTTTAAGTCAAAGACGAGGCATGGATTTTTCTTTTTCAGTTTTGAGTTTTTGTTTGGATACCTGGTGTTTTTGTTACTCAAATATAATTTTTAAGTATACGTTATTGAACGTTTTTATAAGGTGATGTAGTTATTATTAAATTAGATAAATACTTTTTTATGTAACCTTTATAATAGTTCACATCTGGTTGAGGTAAAAAGGACCAACTAAACCAAAGATATAAACAATAAGATAATGGTAATTAAAATAGTGAAATAAGTTACAAAGTGAAATTTTGCAAGAGATAAAACAATTTAAAAGTTATTACAACTTCGATGATGAATTCTTCTGACAAAGTTTCATACAAAGGTTGCCTGTAGGGTTTGTCGGTTTTCTTAGTTTTGTTACGAAAATTATGGAATTCGAAAACCGCTTTTTTAGTGAAAAAAGTCGGTTTTTACTGTATAAATGGAAAATGACAAATATAGCCGCAATGGTTCGCAGAAAGGTTTCGTGTTATCTTTTGTCTAATGTATATATTAATTGAGATTTTTATACCAGTGTATATATTAATTTAAATCAGTGTGACTTCTTCTTGAAGAAGTAACTTCCTCTACTCAAACGTTAAAAAAAAAGAGTTTTTAGCCCCAGAAGCCACAAATAAAAGAACAAAAAACTTAGAATTATTATATCAGGCTTTAAAAACAATTAAACAATTAAGCAATTAACAATTTCAGGAAATTTTGTGAGTAAAGAAAGAACACGTCTATGAAACAATTTGATAGACGTTCTCAGTTTTTTGAAATCATATTTTATTAAACAAAAAAATAATTAGAATGTTTAAGATTAATTAATTAAAATTGCTCGGAATAGAAAATACGCGAATTTAGCTTAATTGTTTTTGAAACTAAAATTGATATTAGCAAGTATGTATCAATATGTATCTATTTTTGTTTTTTTTTAAATTAATGAATGTTTTTTATTTAAAAAAGTATTATTTTTATTTATTCAAAAACTTTCCTTTCGTTATCATAGAAATATTTTC